AGTTGTGCTTTCCCTAAGCTTTGCACCTTTTTCGCTGTTCCTTTTTCTATTGCAAAAATGAACCCCAGGTCATTGTAAACCTCCCTGCTTAGTATCTTTAATACTAAGTGAAAGTGAAAAGCAGTGCAGTCATGGGTGAAGTGAGCTGAAAACCCACAGTGGGGCTGTTGTTGAGAGGAGACATGCAGAACAGGAAGGGCCAGGACACTCAGTGGTTTTTGAAGATCTAGAAATGTGCTTATCTAGTTTTTCTTTATTCTGAGAACATATGTGTATATGGTAATTGGATTCACTCTGTACCACTAGGCTCATTAAATGTAAAAGGCCTGACTCTCTATTGTCCTACACCTTGCGTGGTCACCTCTACCAGCGCAACATAGATGTAAAATGCTACCATTGTGATTTTGTAGCATTTTACACCCACTCTGCCCTGCATCAGTGACTGTACAAGGTGCAGGGCAATGGTGAATCATGCCCCAAAGCAGCAGATTATGCCTCTCTCACTGATGCAGAGTCTACACCAGGAGTTAGGTAAGTGGATTTTTCACACCTGTGAGCGATGTAGCTTTGCCAATGTAAGTTTTCAGTGTAGACCAGCCCTTACTCTGCAGGAAGTTCCTCCAAATTCAGTCTAAGGAGGAAGGTGCAACTCAACATGAGCAAGGGGATCAGACTGTGGCGCAAAGTAACTTGGAATCCTAGTGATACTATCAGTGTCTTCAGAGCACATCTCAGGGCTGTAAAGCCTCATGGCAGAAAGTATCATAAGCAGGACTAGGACACCCATTATAATACTTTTTTATTGTCAGCAAAAAACTCAGTCCCCCTAACTTTACCGTAAGCATCAGAAGATGGAATAAAAAGACAAATGGCAGATTAGCTAAAAGACATTCCTAATTCTAGGGGATTTTGCGTAACTCCGGAGTAGGTGATCTCTTCCCTGTGTTCTTTATTATACATATAGAACATATCAAATCTTACTGGGTGTGAAAATACAAGAGGGTGATAAATTGCCAGCGACTGTGGTGTTGTGAGGTTTGTTTTTGTAAAGTAGGTTCAGGTAAGGTTTTATTGACTCTGTAAGTAGTCAGCTCAGCTGATGGTGAGAGAGAGAGGTCTTTGCTCATGCTGAGATTTATACTTTCAGTTGTTTTTGTTCTTGTTGCAATTAAGATTTGGCTCCAGAGCTGTTGAACCAGCGCTCTGTTTGCGTTGTAAGTTATTACATCCTGCTCTGCACATGGCAGCTTCAGAAGGCCACGGAACAAGATTTCCATAGAATTGCGTCTCGGGCCTTTTGGCAGGGCGTTGCCTGCAAAGAGCGAACAGGGAGTTTCATTGTCATTGATTTTTTTCTCCTTCATCATCCTGGTACTCTTCTACATATGTTTATGGCCACAAAAGATTCCCCCCACCTTTTAAACTAACGCAACTTGGGCTACATCTACACTACAGGGGGGAGTCGATTTAAGATACGCAAATTCAGCTACGTGAATAGTGTAGCTGAATTCGACATATCGCAGCCGACTTACCCCGCTGTGAGGACGGCGGCAACATCGACCTCTGCAGCTTCCTGTCGATGGCGCTTACTCCCACCTCTGCTGGTGGAGTAAGAGCGTCGATTCGGGGATCGATTGTCGCGTCCCGATGGGACGCGATAAATCGATCCCCGAGAGGTCGATTTCTACCCGCCGATTCAGGCGGGTAGTGTAGACCTAGCCTTGGAGCTTGATTAGTAATTGTACGTCCCTGTTCACTAGAGATGCCCCTGTCAGTCAGTTGACGGGGTGACTGATGTTTAGATGCTCTCATCCTAGAGTTCTGCCTTCAGCACATATAGCTGATGCCTCATGGCTGCCTGTCCTCTGTTCAGTTAGTGCCAAACAAGGACTAATTTTAGGTGAGCAGGTTGCATTATGTTGCAAGTGACACCTCCTCTATGGAAATTTCCCCCATATGGTGGCACTGAAACATGCTCATACCATGCTTACCTTCATGATGGAGGATAGAGAGACGTCTCTCACTGCAAGCCTGATTGGCTTTGTTCTAGGGGACGGAGGAAGAAGGTGCACATTAAAAACAAAGCTGTTGACATCGTCAGCAGGATTTTTGGTACCCTGGAGTCACTGCATGTCCCCGTACATGAGAACTTCCCTTCAAGAGCTTGATCCTCGCACTCAACCAGTCTGGATATTATACAGAAAATGTGCCCCAGTATGTAATTTGGGGGTTGGGCAGGGTGGGGGAGAGCGGGAGGTGTTGTTTAAAAATACCCGTTCAGTTCCTGGAGGAAAGGAAGCCGGGCTGGCCGTGATGCTCCTGTGCTTCCCCCTGATTGTCAAGGCAGTGTTCAACCTTGTTGCTCTTCTGGACTCTGCTGCTGGCCAAAAAAGGCTCCTTCCCTATATGGCTAGCCATGAAGCTGCACTCCATCTTGACTGACATGGCCCTGAACACAACTCGCCTATGCTACTCATGAACTCCTCGCTTGATTACTGCAATGGCCTGAATCTGGGAATGAGTGGGGCTGCTCTGAGGAGGCTCCAGCTAGTTCAGCGTGTGTCTGCCTGCTTGCTTAGCATTGCATGGGGACATGAACGCCACCGCTCAAATGCTCCAGACTGCACTGACTGCCACAGAAATTTGGATTTAATTCAATCTCCTGGGTTGGCTCTTCCAGCCACCCAGTAGCCTTGGGTCCAAGTTATCTCCAGCAACATCTCTCCAATAACAGTGAGGTCTTACTGGTACCACAACAACTGCAATCATCAGGAACAAGAGAACTATAAAGATGGAAAGTGAGAATGGTGAAAGCAGGGAATAGGGGTTTCTCTGTGGTTGGCCCACAGCTGCCACTAGAGATTAGAATAGCTTTGAATTTTACCATGTTACAGACTCATTGTAAGACCCATCTCTTGAATGTAGCTTTTCCCCATAACTACCACCTCAGGGAAGGTGATGGGGAAGAAAGAAGTGGGGCTGGACAAGAATCACTGGAGGAAACAGAACAAAGACAATCCATTGCTGTGTACTTAGGGATAGGAGGGACTAGAGGAAAGAAATGCAACATGTTGCTTTTAGATGCTGCTGGCTTTGTAAATTTTTGTAAGGCTTCCCAATACCACAGTGATGAGCACAACAAATAGAGAGGTAGAGAAGTCCTTCAGGAATGAAGCCTGAGTAGATAATGAAGAGTGTATGCTATGAAAAGGGGAGAGGTTGCTGAGTGGTGGAGCGGACTTCAGGTTTACAAGATTATGACTTCTTGGTTTCAGTTCAGTGCAGTCCTTCAGTGCTGGCCTTCATTTTAGGATGTGACAGTGCAACGGTAATTGTTGGACTCTACCTTCTTGTGTGTTTCTGCTCAGGGGGAACAAACTATTCTGTGCGATAGATCTTTTACCTGGTATGTCAGGTCTGCACATAGGATTTTGACATGATTGGAGATGCTGAAAAAGGAACTTTAGTGCCTGAAACAATGCCAGAAGAGACATTTACTGCATTGTCTGTAGTGCTGTTGTTGAAGGAGGGGAATGTTTCATGTATTCAAGCCCAAATCCTCACTCCACATTTCTTGATTGGTATATTTTTCATCATTGCATTTCATCCCCACTACCAAATAGGTTTGCATTTGAGATACAAACATGTTTTCATGCCAGGCCTGTATCAATAGGGATGAAATATGATCCTGATGGAAATCCGCTTGCAAAATCTGGAGTAGAATTTTAGGGCAGGAATACATGACATCTTCGCAAGGAGAAGGAGGATAACTCACTTGTTGTAGAACTGGAAATCTTCTCTAAATTTAAATATATCCCATTAGTTATATAATCCACCTTGCTATCATAGTGCTATAAAACAAAATCATACCTGTTTAGTTTCTCTAATGCAGTACGGTTTATACTGTGCGCTGTTTTAACGTAACTGAAATATTCTTATTGATGATAAAAGTATTTATTTGAGTTTTGCAAAACACAGAAACATGCTTGGAAAGTATCGCTTTCAGGCACAGTCCCCTGTCTAAATGAACCTTAAAAACCCAACTGACTTGTAATGCTACAGTGGTAAATTTCATAGGGCAGGGTATATCTGTAGCACAGTGAGAGTTGTGACTGTTTATTTACCAAGCTGCTGGCTAGTATTATCGACTGCTCCTTTGGTTGTTTGACTTTAAAAGTTTTATCATGTCATGTAGCCAAGAGGTTTACATTTGGAACAAATGGGCATTTATGAATTCTGAGTTTACAATGAAATACCAGTGAAATTGCATAGTCTTGTCATGTGAATAGCAAAGTAATCCATTGTGATTACTTCTATTATTTTCCTGTCAATGCCAAAAGCAGTCGTACAGGTTTAATTTTGAAGTGTTACCGAGGTTTCTTATGATGCTATATTTTTTAGGACGTGTCTTCACTGCAATGTTAGCGCAAGCTATAACTTGAATTTCCCCCCTAACTTGATGCCTGTCCAGTCCCTGCTCACAAATTTGTATCTCAGATTCAGGAGTGCTTGAAGCTCGAGCTGTCCTGGCAATGGGGACTCGGGGAGGTGTCCTGGCAATGGGGACTCGGGGAGGTGTTTGAAGCTGGAGTGCTGCTGATGCTCAAACTTCTCGTGCTACGAGGATGCAAGAGCTGAGTTACAACAACTCATCAGCTGCTAATCCAGTCGCTCTGAGAAGCTAATGAAATCGTTCTGTGTCGCTCTCCAGTGTCGTTTTGCCATCTGGTTGCTCTCACTTGAGCTAGGCAGCTCCCATGGAGTAATCTGAGTGATGGACTAACTCAAGCTAACTTTTGCAGGCAGGCAAGCCCTCAGGACTTGTGGGTCATTTCCAAACATTCCTTTTGGCTGTTTTCACTTGAGCTAAGACGACAGCAAATATTATTTGCTACTACTTTAATAAATGATGATAGTTTTTTAACATCTTAAATTTGTTCCCATTCTTAGCTGTTTAAACACCACTTTCACAACGCTTCATTTTCTGTCTTCTCTTTCAGATAATAGTTCAGTATTTAATGAGACGACAGCAGCGCCAGTTGATTGGCTGACCAGTTCCTCTGCTGAGAAGGTAAGTGAGGCTTACAGGAAAGCCGGCATTGAAAACCTCAGTGTGCTGTTCAATTATGTGTTTGGAATAGATTGGCACCTCTGCACTACTGGCGCTTTTACTCCAAAAAATGGATTAAAAATAGAGGGGCGGTTTCTAAGCAACGTTCTAGTCCCATTGCAGAGAGCCAGAGAGGGAGTTATTGCTCCTTTTATTAAAAATAATCAAAGCACAATCCCATCCTGGATAGTTACTCCTACGTTGTTTTTCCAGTCTTGCTTTGGGAACATGTGATGTATCACCTGCTGTTTGAGACTGTGGCCTTGCATGGAAAAAGGTGGCACAGATGTAAGTGAGCTTACCATCTCACTTTCTCTCCCGTAACCATGACGCAGCATATCCAGTACTTTACAACTGAGTTTGATTTTAAGTGTTCCTCTTACCCGTAGTGCGATTTGTGCACCTATGATATGTGGTTTGCCCACAGAGATACTCTCCCTTCTTTCAGAGGCCTTTTCAACTGCTAGCAGTGCAGGCATAGGAGGATAGGTGCCTAATTTTACAAAATATATTATAATTCTGGATATCCCAAAAATCTGAAACGCTAGTGGAACTCACGAGATGTGTGCAGACGTAAACAATTTGAGCTGCATGATTTCATGTCACTTCCCTCTTCCCTGCCGCTGTATGTTTATTGTCCATCTTAGATCTTAAAAATGTTAGGGCAGGGAGGTTGTCTGTGATGTCTTAGTGCCATGCCCTCCTATGGTGCTATAGATATAGTTTGGACACCATTAATATCCTCACAGTGGTGTTACCTTTTGCCTAATAGGAAACAGCATCATAGTACCAAAATTAATGCTGTAGTATTGTTAATTACTTGCAAACAGTAAGCCTCATCCTTGTGATTGGGGTTGGTCCTGCTTTGAGCAGGGGGTTGGACTAGATGACCTCCTGAGGTCTCTTCCAACCCTGATCTACTATGAGTCTATGACTGTATAGGTCAGCACTTGTGCCCATGAGGCCAATGGACTCCTTGTGGCTGGAGGGACCTTCCCACGCAGATCTGCTCAGGGTTGTAGTTCTAAAGATGTTAACAAGGACCACGGTACTAGTTCTCTCACTACAAACTTTAATTTGCTGTAGTTTGGGCACATGAGAGCTCACCTGGGAGGCAAACTTCTGGAAGAGAAGGAGAAAAGAATATAACATGGTGGTTTCAAGCTTTTGTTTGGTTTTCCTGAATGAAGACTAAGTTTAAAACAGGAAATTTAACCTAAGGATGCAGAGCTGCTGGCTGGGTTTTCTTCATTATTATTTTTGTTTTTGTTTCTGAAATTGAGGCTCTGTTGTGCTACACCTAGTAAGAGAGAATCCCTGCCCTAAGGTGTTTACAATCTTAAATAGACAAGACAAAGGGTGTGTGGAGGGGAGGAGACAGAGTCCAAGTGACTTGCCCAAGGATACCCAGCCGGTTGATAGCAGAGCCAGGAATAGAAGCTAGGTCTCCTGATTCCCACCTAGTTGCCCTGTGCGCTGGACTACGCTGCCTTCCTGGTGTCTCCTTTTAGTCTTCCATGATTTTGTTACTGTGCGTATGTGCAGTCATTGTGGTACTTCAGCAGCTGAGTTCCGCTCTTTCACTGGGACTAAAAATTGGGTCCTAATTGTTCAGCTTCCCTTCATAGTAAATGATGCTTTTAAAAATGATGAGCAGCCCCAAGCGCTAGTACAACACTACCTGTCAAGGCTCTGGAGGCCGCCTGTCAGGAAAAGAACGCCAGTTGCTACTTCAGTTTCATTAAGAAGAACAGCTCTTCTCGCTATTTGTGGAGTTTGCATTCGATTTTCAGGCTTGGGGAATGGCTGGAGAAGTGCATAAGGGGAAAGTGACTGATTAATTTAGGGGGGTGAAGATATAAAAAAAAGCCCAGTTCAGAAGAGGAAGCTGGTGCAAATAACCCAGCAGGTCATATTTCCAGATGCTCTTCTGTGGGATAGGGTCCACAGCACCAGATATCCCCCTCCCTTAAAGCCCCACATGCTACCATCCTTCCTGCGACTTAGTAGGACTGGCCGGTGCTCCCTTCAGAGCTGATCAGCATCTCTCCTGGATCAGCCAGAGAGAGACGCATCAGGCAGCGCTCTCCCTTCGGGAGCTGAACAAGCTGCTTCGGTAGCTCTCCCAGCCCGGGGGAGTTGGACACTGGACCCAGAGATTAATACCTGTTCCCTTGCATGTGCCAGTGTAGAGAAATAACTCCAGGACCAACTCAGTGTTTTCCCTCTAGCACTAAGCTTCCTTATAGTTTTAGAACAAAACAAATTGTTAGGGGCACGTGACGATGTTAGGACTGGGAAGAACAGTCCTATTATAAATCCTTGTAGACAGTTAGCCAGGGAAGCAAATGTGCTGAATCTTTGAATGTACTGTGACAAAGTGAGAGAGCTTCAGGGTACTACTTGGAGTTGACATTGCAATTGTATCTGAAAATGGCATATCTCATTTATCCGCTGGTGCAGAACCCTTACCAATGTACTTCCACTGACAGCCAGCCACAGTGGAAGGTCATCTTGTTGGTCCATGTGTTGCCCGCTTAGTGCGTGCGGTCTAATCTCAAAGCTGGAAAAGGAAACCTCTGTAATAAAACATTGTGATTCTTTGGGTAACGACAGTGCAGCCAAGTAGTCCAAAAACTTTCCATCTATTTTAAATCTATGAACAGACTCTGGTACTTCAGAGTACAGAGCCCTTCAGTGTACCTGTCAGTTTCAGATGTGCTGCCTCTTGAATGATTTAGTTAATGGCAAATGCTTCTGATGATGGGTGTTTGTTTTATTTTAACAACATGGTAATGGGGAAAGGGCTCATGAGGAAACCTTCATTTTGTCTTTTGTGTGTCTGGTGACCCGAACACGCATTTTCTTTGAAACATTCAATTAACACTAGAGTTGTGCATTTATGAAGCCATTGGCGTCCAAGACCTAGTGGTTTAACCCTCCAGGAATACACATTCAAAATCAGCATGCGGGAGGCAGGCACAAAATCTTAGTTCTGTCTTTATCTCCCTGCTCTGAAAACACCCACCCACTTAGCCTATTGTTCCAGGCTTGAAGTTAGCAGTCCAGGCAGATGGGTTTCCTGTCAACAGGATTTCTCCCTGTTTTTGCTTCTTTGTGCTTCAGAGAGAGAAAATGCTGAGAGAGCAAATGTGGCAGCACCTTGTCAGGTGGATAACTGATAGTCTCCCCCCCTTCCCTACACCCTCCATCATTGTCAGCAAAATCACACCTCAGTTCAACTACAACTTTCTGGATTGGTGAAATTTGCTGAGGAAGCTGCAATATAATACAAGCAGCCTTCCAACACAATTCGATATGTGCAACAATGTTTAGTTGCATGCCTGATGTATATAAGTGTATGAGATACTAACAGACACGTACTGTGGTTACGTGTGTGTATCCTCCAACAGTAGGCATCTCCGGGTTGTGAATCAGTACTTTTAAAATATCTCCAAGGTTTCAGTACAATTTTGTCTATCCACTAGTACAGGATTCCACTTCTAAGCCACTGATTTTTTTTTCCTGATTCCTTGTGTGGTTGTTTAAGGGAATGCCATCATATTGTATCTCCTATTTCAATCTGAAAATGTTGTGACTCGTATAGTAATAAGCAACATCTAAGATTCCTGTAACTAAAAAGATTAATAGTCTTTTTTTGTTTGTTTGTGGACTTTGTGCATTTAGCAGCACTTTGTACATAGCTCATTTCACTGCTTCTGTTGTTAGTCAGTTTCCTCCATTTGAGTTTTTTTGCAGCATAAGGCAGAAAACATGTTTTTGAAATAGGAATATGTGACTGTAAACTCCCCCAGAATTGGCAGGAGGTTCGAGGATAGGTGTAGCTACCTGAAACTACTTCAGTTTTGTTTAACACTGTATTTTGAGTGGACTGTGTCCCTTTAAACTGCCCACACCTGTTTCTCACAAGTTTATTCTGATGATGCACATACACATTTTGTATTCTTCATTCCTTATGCATTCATATTTGTTCTCTCCTTCTCACCACACTGACATTGCTGAGAATTATGTACACATAGGGAGAGGAGAAGAGAACTCCATAAACTCTGCTGAGTATTAGGCAATAGATCATTTTCTGACATAACCACGCAAGGAAATGAGGAGTCTATAATGTAATTATAAGTACAAATTGTGTTCCTTATTGGGAATTACAACGTTATCTGTTCTAAAATATTTGAATTCATGTGTATGCAATTAAGATTTGCTCACATGTAGAATCTTTTCCAGTGCTACGATAAAAAATTCAAGTCCCACAGAAGTCGGTGGAAATATTTGTTTTCAGTAGGAGTTGTACTGAGTTCCAGGTGGGCTCGTGCTTTAAAACATTACTGCAGGGAATGCCTTAAGACTCAATACAGACACATTCCACTACTGTGCTTTTCTAATGGCCCCAAAAAGGAAAGTCAAACTTTATCTTGTATATTGCCACTAAATCCATGCAGGGTCTTTATGTATGGTACAACAGACAGCAGAGCTGAAAGTCAGGGGGTCTCTCAGATAGATATATAGATGTATATAAAAGAGGAACACTTCCCTGTCAGGTGTTGGTGTTGGGAAGAATTCCATAGATTTTTTTTTTTTTTGCCAGATTTAGGCAAACTTATTTTTATGTTCAGTTTTTCAATGGTAATTAAACCAATATCAGTGAAATCATACATCCCCTTTTCTCAAAGGAGGTTGCAATTTCATTGTTGGCAGCTACAGTTTTCTGAACAGTACTAGATGCAGCAGTGTTAAAATGAGTCATAAGAAATATAAGGCTCAGATTGCCTGACGATGCCCAATACAAAGTCTGGTAAGGGAACTGTTTTGCAGTTCTGTACTTTGCAATTTAATGTGATTACCGAGACGTGCATTTTGTGGTGGAGTCTGGTGTTCTCTGGCCATTTTGTGCTCTGCACACACTGGTAAACTGAGGGTTTCTATGAAATATATAGAGGAACCCCAGAACTGAATTAGAGCTTTGTTTTCAATATAAAACCAGGAATGTGTGAAGGGCCAGTGTGTTGGTTCACCGGTAGGGCTACACGTTACCCAGAATTAATCAGACTTTGCATCAGTAGCTCAACATACTTCTACCCAGACCAATAAAACATGAGAACTTTGTGGAGGTGATGCTCATAACTCCGTTACAGAGGGGTCTGAGCTGCTGCTGCTGCCCAGAGCTTGCTCTGGAGTGGAAGCTTCCTACTGTCAAACGACATCAGGCAGTCTTGGGACCCACTTCAAGGAAGTGCATAGGGTCTCTTCTGCTAGAGGGCCGGCGTGTTGTGGCTTCTCTGATAGGAATAGGTTTTGATTAGGTGGTGTGGGCAAGAAGTGAACTAGAGAAAATTAAATCTGAGTGTCGAGTTTGGGTCCCAGGCCAGCTGTTCCACTTGCACATCAGAATTCTGTATCTGGTTTCCAACTTGATCAGGCAAGCCACAGGGAAGCTAGACAATGCTTGGCTGAGGGGGATTGACAAAGATTGGGGAGGCCTTGCCAGTGGAGAAAGAGGCAGTTCTCCTTATCCACTGGAGAGGACAGGGATGAAACGATATTCTCGCTGAAGAGATTTGTATTGTTGGTTGGTATCACTGACTTACATTTTAAATTTAAAAATCTGAGGGGGAATCCAGCTTTGCCTTTTGTTTGTGCACACGCACCTGCCCTGCTGCCCGGTTTATGTTCACTCACTACTCAGTAAACAGCCACACCACTGCAGAGACTTTCATCCTCAGAGCATATCATTGTAGCTCTGGGCTCTCTCTGTTCCAGCTGCTATTTTAGTGAATAGCAGAGTTAATATAACAGAGCACAGCTTCATGGGATATTTTCTTTGCTCTTTAGTACAATAACACGGTCGACTGGCCATCTCTGACAAAGAAGGAGTGCTGGAAATATGGAGGCTACCTTGTGGGCAACAACTGCAACTACGTCCCTGACATCACCCTCATGTCTTTTATCCTCTTCTTTGGCACCTACACCTGCTCCATGGCCCTGAAGAAATTCAAAACCAGCCGTTATTTCCCAACCACTGTAAGTATCTCTCTGTTTATCACGTGGGGGAATTTCCTTATTCCTCCAGAGCACATATAGTATTGTACTCTTGTTTGCAACCCCTCCTTTTGCAATAGATACAGCCAAGAAGGACAAATTGCACCACTACGCGGGGATGCACACACTGACACCAGATCCTATTTGTTGAAGTTTGTTGTTGGCAAAATTGCTTATTTTTCAGCTCTAAACTTCCAAATGTTCCTGGAGGGCACAAGTCAGACAGTGGAAGAATTGAAAACTGGCTGGAGTCTGTAGTGACAATAACGCTTAAACAGACAAGAATTCCAAGCTGAGGGGTGCAATGATACAGTTGATTCGTACAAATCTCATCAAAGCTTTTGCTTCCAGCATTAAGAATTCACCAATGCAGAGCTTATACAGAAAACTGAGCTGCCAGTAGTAGCCAAAGGCCATTTTCAGTGTCCTGATAGTAAAGCTGAGTGCTGCTCCCATTGCATGACTGGATACCTGGTGATCAACAGTCTCCTGTGTGGTATGCCTGAACGTATACACAGAAACCACTTGATCAAGTGACGCAAAGGTGCAGCAAAAACATAAGTAAGCAACTTCCTACCTGTACAAAAAGAAGTTAAAATAGTCCAGTGTCTCATAATGCCCTAGAAATAAATCTATCTAGAATATGAAAACAGACACCTCATAATATTAAGGTTGCAAATTTTAAATGCTCAGAAGTCAGAATATGAAAAAGTTATGGTCCTAGTAGTAATGTTACCTCAGCCATGATGCATTTCCTGTATATCTTATGATATGCATTTAACAGCATAAATTCTATTGAATGAAAAAGCTAATGTTCTCATAGCAATGTTTGCTCTCAGCCATATTTTACCTCTTAACAGCCTAGATACTGAAGTCCTCTCTCTAGATCAGGCACAGCATGGGCAGGTAAAGGAGAGACATCAAGCTTCCTCAGCATGCAAATGTGCTTCTATCTAATCAACAGGAGTTGGTGCATTAAAAGCTGTATCTCGCCCACCTTGTTTGTCTCTACCTAGAACAGTCAATTTAGGTTTTTCTGTGTATCTAAGTACTCACTTGGGATGAGAGACTCCATTCAATCTCCATTCCCAACTGGTCTTCAGCCACTTTGCCGTTTCAAGGGAGATGTGACAGCTCCCCAGAAGACGTTCTACTTCTTGCAGTGGTGGCCTCTAACAGCAGCAGTAGCAGCACTGGGGCTGTCTCAGCAGTCCTAGGAAAACAGCACTACTTCCGTTATTGTCAGTTTCTATTTGGGAGGTTTTCTTTGTGACCATTGGTTCTGCAGAAGTTGACTGCACATGCCCAGAGTTCTGCAGTCTTTGAGCTAAAGATTCCTTCTCCTCCTACATGAGGTGGATTTCTCGAGCCCTGCACATATAGATATAATAATTTTAGTGCAGATTGGGTCTCTTGCTCTTCATACTGAAGGCAAGTAGGGAGATATTTGATCTCTGAATAGAGGTGTTTCAGTAACACAGCTCTTAGTACTTCTCTCCGGACAACAGACTCTTAGCCAACTGATACATAGCGATGGTGGGTCAGCAAAAGTTGCTTGTTCTGTTTGCCCAGAGTCATAGTGACAGCTGTCAAAGGTGAGAAAGGTTGTGAAAAAAGTTCTACTCCTTCCCTTTTAGAGAACCCAGTTTGCAATATTTTGGACAACAGCGTTCCCTGTCCCCAAGATCCAACCCTAATTTCATCAGAGCGAAAACTTTAAAAACAAGGGCACTAGTTTCAGGTTTCTGTACATAACAAAACTCTCTCTCAGAACCCCCCTGTGGCATTCTGAGTGCAATAGGATTTATAGTACAGTGATGTTTATGCTCCTGCAGCACTGAAATGGAACTTTTATTATTTTTAATGAAAAGAAAACAAATTCCACCCTGGCTGGAATGTAGTTCAGTTTATCTGTAACCATGTGAATCTGGGGAGCCTGGGAGGAAGAACTCTGAAAAGTTGACACAATAGTCTATAAAAGTCCAATGAGATCTGGCTAGTTAAATTTCAAGAGCCAGACCCTGAGCTGGTGAAAACGGTCACAGCTACATTGACTTCAATGGAGTTACAACAGTTGACACAGGTTGAGGATCTGCCCCCAATTTCTTTTCACTTCAGTTTTGTGGTTCATTTATTACCTTAACACCATAAAAAAGAAACATCAGGGTGTGATTTTAAAAACTCTTCTCTTCGGTACATAGCACCACACCCAGATTGAAATGTTTTCTGCTCCTTTCTTTTGAGTTCCTCTCTCTGACCTCCCCATGTGAGTCCCTTGGTGACTGTTTCCATTGCTGATGTGAAATCTTGATTTCTTCCTTGCTTCTATAGCTTCATATTAAAGACCCAATCTGCCTTGCAAAATAGGCTATATTAAAAAATTGTTTCGGGAATTTTTATTTTGAGACACATGATCACAGAAGACACTCAACTTCCTTTTTCCCCCTTCCCCCCCAAATGAAAGTTTCTAGCCCTGATGGTAGCAATGAAAAGCTTGAAAACATAAACTCTTAAAAAAATAAAAAAATAAATATATATATATATATCTCAAACATCAGGAGGCAAATAAAAAGAGCCCAATATTTATTTGTTTAAAATTTCATTATTTTGGAGAGACCTGATTCATACTTTTTGAACCCTTGCTGGCAATACGGGGAGTGATCTTGAAACCCCTTTAATTTAATATGGTTGTACAAGACAGTGTGAACAGGATGAATTTTACACACACATACACATCTCTCTCGCACATGCACGCAAACAAAGATATGGCCCATCCATACTGGTTGGTAGCAAGTCAGCCCAAACATTTTAGTTCAACCTGTTTGAAAGATCAGTTCCTGAAGGTAGTTTTAACATGCCATGGTAATGGTATTTGTAACACTGTTGCACTCAAGAATGAGAGAATTTCCCCTCTCTCCTTTCTTCCCTGACACCTTCCTTCACTTGTAGATAGACCTGTAAACATTCCTTCACTTGTAGACAGAGCACGCTTGATACAGAAAATTGACACACTGTAGAAATTAAACCCTTTGATGATGATTTTTTTTTAATTCTTAGGGCCCCAATTCAGGAAAGCATCCCTACTCAATTTTTCTCTGCTTAAAGTTGAGCATGTGCTTACGTGCTTTCCTGAATTTGGGCCTACAGCTACACTTTAAATTATTGTGGTCTATCCTGCAGCACACATGGGCTTGTCAGCCTGCTTACTGGCACCTTTACAAAATGCCCATAGGACTGTGGGGTCATTGAAGTAACAGAACTTGCTAAGCAACTGAAACTGAAGATGCTGGCTGACAAACGTCTAGACAAAACCTGCGGTTGGTTAATTGAAGCCCTTGTGGGGGTGGCTGCAGGTGTAAACCGAGTCTGTCTTGGAAAATCCATTTTTTCTCTGCTGTAGGTTATTCTTTACCCAGCAATCTATGAACATGAGCTGCAGCGGCTAGGTTCCTCTAGCAGGATTGTGTTTTTAAATTTTAATTCTGAGGGTTGGGCTGTGCATTGATCCGTACAAGGCAGGTAGCATGAACCGGGAATTAACCTGTTGCATACAAGAGACACAGCTCCTTTATTTCATTCAGGCATGCAGAATGTACACATTGTTGCATTTTTCCTTCTTTAAATGATTGGCTTTCTGCAGTTTACCATTGTTTACAAACTGACAGCACTAGAAACGTACCATCCAAAGATCCTCAGACATCCTTATTTATCCCAGCCACTGGCTTGCATCTAATATTGACAGCTGACAAATAACCCTGACAGCTGACAAACAATCCCAACAGTGTACCGCTAAAAATATTACTACAGCCGCAAACACCCTTTTTAGTCTCAGTAACGATCTGGCATCTCATTTTGAGAACTATTCAGAGATCTTTGATCAAAATCTCCTCCCACCACCTCTTCTTCCAGACACATCTCATCTTACTTAAGATGCCTTTTGTTTTAATAAGAGGCCCATTTTTCTTGATGGAGTTCCATCACAGCTTTTCAGAAACCATTCCTGTGGGGAACTGGGTCTGTATAATGGGAATTGTTAGCCAATGTAGAATTAGATTATCAGTAAGATTGCATGGGAGAATTTTTGTGGGAGTACTTTGCAACAGAAGCTGTTTTTCCTTGGAGTTGTTTTTGTAGTTCTGTTTAGGCCTAATTGTTTGGCTTTCAGACCGTGTAATAAAGTATCAAAGCACATTTTTTAAAATCACTTCAGCCACTGCAATGTGCCCCTTTTGTCCCTACAGAAAGGGAAATGTTTACCCTGAATTGCCACCAACTACAAGAACAAGGGTTATCACATTGAATTTAAACGGTTGCTCTTGGTACCAGCCACTGTTATGGTGTCACCTTCTATTTCAGGCCAGGAAGCTCATCAGTGATTTTGCCATTATCTTGTCCATTCTGATTTTCTGTGGAATAGATGCCCTAGTAGGTGTGGATACACCGAAACTAATTGTGCCAAGTGAATTCAAGGTAGGTAAAAGTGGTCTCTCAACACACAACCGTTATTTTACTCGGTGGCTTCTGTCGCACTCTGCTGTTTCTATCTTCCTTCTGTGAAATTACCAACCATGAGACCAACAGTCATACAAAAATAAGCTATCCAGGAAGGATTGTATTGCTGAGCCAGTTAGAAAGCAGTTTATTTAGAAGTGCAAATTTATATCATCTCCATTAACACCATGTCAATTGGCTGAAATGTCTTCTAAAATGTAATGACAAATCTTGAACGTAAAGCGGGATCCTGCCAACCTCGCTCGTGCTCGGTAGCACCTTACTCCATGATTTCAATGGGCCAAATTGTGTTGTGTTTACTCACAGGGCCGGCTTTAAGCCGATTCCCCGGAATGGGGCCCCGCAATGTCCGGGGCTGCTGGCGGAGCGGGGGAGGGGAAAAAAAAAGCCGCATCCTGCTTCTCCCCCCTCCCTCCAGTGCTTGCCATACAGCTGATCAGCGCAAGCCTGGGAGGGGGGGTGAGGAGGAGGAATGCGGCGTGCTTGAGGAAGACGCGGGGCCAGGGCAGGGATTTGGGGAGGGATCCAATGGGGGCAGGGAGGTGGGTGGGGCTGGGGGGGCAAGGCAGGAATTTGGGGAGGGATCCAATGGGGGCAGGGAGGTGGGTGGGGCTGGGGGGGCAAGG